ATCAAAAAACAATATACAGTTACCTCAAATGTAGTCTTTAAAAATAGTTTTTTCAAAAAAAAGGTTAATTACAGAGAAAATACAATAATTCACAGCATCGTATACAATTTTACTACATAATCTCTTACAAATTTAGAGGTTTAGTATGTATTCCATCACATTCAACTTCCCGTTTAGGGTAAAAATAGCTCAGTCCTTTTTTAGTTTGTCCATAAGTTGCGACTGCATGGTTAATCGTTTTAAATCCTCTATTCGTTGACTTAAATTCACTGCCTCATCCAGTACTTGTCGATACTTCGCCATCGGTCCATCTCCAGAGTCTTCTAATGCACGTTTTTTCAGACCTTTACTGCTAAACTTATATTTTTGACTTTTACTATCGTAACAACAGTAGGTTTTACTACTCAGGCATAACATTTAGGTGCTTCTGAACTCCTCTTTGAACAATCCTGGTTCTCTCTTGTCATGTTTCTTATGTTTAGAACAGCAAGTACGGGGAAAAATTTGTTTTTTGCATCTGCTCTGAAGTCGTCTCGACAGTCCTTGCTTCGCCTTTCGGTCCATTCTGCTCGCCTGCTGGGAAGGATACAATCATCTTAATCTTCTTCTGCCAAAGCCAAATAGATGGAATCTGTATCCATTTCGAGTTCTTCGATTTTGTTGACATCGCAAAATTTATCGAAAAAGTTATAATACAGCTCCAACATTCTCAACTTGGCATACTGTAGTATAAAGAATCCTAGTATAATTGGTTCACAATGCTCTATTTTAGATTTAACAAGTTCCACTTCATACAAATCTTTAGCTACGATATTGAGTCTCTTGAAGAATTGGTTATTGATAGCCTTGTAGGTTTTTTCGTCTACAAGATATTTTGTCATTGTATGTTTTGATCTGTTTTATTATTTGATAGCCATAGGAACTGTTTCCTAGAAGTTTCATTGTTTCGGCTACTACGCCAGATAATGGATTCTAATCGCTGGCTCGCCTAGCATCAACAACAGACTGAACAAAACTGTTGAATACTTTACGCGGTGTGTATTGTACAAATCGATGAATTTTTGTACACTGTAGTCCAAGATCCAAGTAAAAGTTGCAAAATGGTGTGATAAGTTTTCCGTTGGTTAACTTGAAGCTCGTTATCAACATTCGTTGCGGTTGTTTTAACAAATGGTTTTCTTCCGCATATGTCTTCATATATTCACCAATATCGTTTCTGGAAACATCAATACTTTTGAAAATAGGTGGGAAATTGAAAAGTTTTTAAAGCTCATCTGGAACAATCAGATCGCATTGCACATAGCCGAAAATTGTTTCATTTCTAATGTTTGGCACTAGTGAATTGGCAGAAAGAGGTCTTTTGAAGGGAAAGTGAATTCTAACGTGATTTTTTACGTCTACATCGTTTTTAAATTAATCCCACCAACTACACTCCCACATTTCTTCTATAGAGTATCTTTTTTCTCGAATGTAATATTTTCGAAGCTCATCCATTTCTCTTTTCTTGGTTCCTCGTTTGATATCATCATCAGTTAGGCTCGGTCTAGTTTCTTGACAAGGACAAAAATGGAAATAACAACCCATTGCTTCAAAGACAGTCTTACAATGGTCGCAATAACCATCAACACTAAAGCAATCAATTTTTTTCTGTTTTCCTGTAGTGTAGTAACTCTCAATTTTACATTCAGGTCTGGTTGCTTGAAAAAATGACATGAACATATTTTCAAATGTTCAAACTCGATTTTGCCTTGCCTTGAATTTTTGTGTTTCTTCATCGTAGTCCCATCTCGTATACAAACCTGTGGGCATATCCTGACGCATAGAATAAGGATAGAGTTGACTAGCATCAAACCCAACGATTGATTTACACAAATTTTTTGATTTTCGAATAAAGGTTTCATTTGCTTCTGCTTTCCTTGTGAAAACAATTGAGGGACCACCGGTCATATCACCGGGCAAGTCACTATCACTCGAAAAGAATGGGTAAAACTTATAGTCGGTTGATTAGTGTAGACAGATATTGGCTAGATTCGGTAGTGTGCAGCCGAGCTTTAACATGTCTATCCCTTTGTCATGATAAAATTCAATCATTTTCTGCATAGTATCAAGCGTAGGAACAACATCCTTGTTGTTATACCACCGTAGAAAATCGCGAAATGTTGTCATCTTTTCCTGTTCCCAGATAGATTTAAGGTAGTTGTAGTTTTCCAATCCCGTAGGTGGTTTGGTTTTGAGGCCGAGTTTTTTCAAGGCTTGCTCTTCAGTTATCCCAGTATTGAGAAGCTTCTGAAAATCGTCATACTCTTTATCGAGAGGGTTACTATTCTTCAGTTTGCCGTAGAAGTCATCATACGAGGGTATTTGTTGTTCATCAAGCTTGTTGGGAGAATCAAACCACTCGTATGGAAAGTATCCTTTCATCTCACTGGCTTTGTGAGCTTTTAGAAACGAGTCTGAAGTAGTAGCTCCACCCAAATTTTCATAATGTCCTGAAGCTGAACATAACCAAATTTGAAGAAAACAAAGTCGTTTGCTTTCTTGATAACTGAAAATTCAATTCCGTTTTCGTTGATAAGATAGGGAATGAGGTATGATTTAATGAGGTTTATATCATGCCGACCACTGTTGAATCCAAATACTGGCAGAGTATTGGTCTATCTCTCTAGATGTTGCATCCAATCAATCAATTTTTTGAATCCAAAGAAAGTGAGTGGATGCGTCTGTTTTTTCCTCATTACGAAATATGCTGAAAGTTGTGTGTAGTCGCTTCTCGATGTTATTTTCAATTTCCAGAAACTTTGTTCTCATTTCGATTTTATTTTTTTTCCGCTAACAACAATGAGGGATTGTGGATCTTTGTCACACAAAAATATGGGTTTTTCAAGCAAATGGGATGAAATTGACACTGATATGGATTCATGCTTCCCGATCCAAGTTATTGTTTTGGTTGGTTTTAGTTCTTCGGATGGCACGCAAATTGATTCAAAGTCAAAAATAGCGATATTTTTGAATAAAGTTTGTTCTATTGTGTACTCAATATTGAACCCATCCAGTTTTTCAAACAACGTCTCTCGTAGAGTTTAAACATTTTTGGGGTAAATGTTTTTGATTCGGTCCTTGCAACAGAGAAGATGGCGGTTGAAGTGGTCTGCTTTGTGGAAAAATGTATCGCAAGATGGGCATCGGAAGTATTTGAAGAAGTTGTCGATGTTATTGACGTAAATAATGTGGTTGTTGTATCGTAGAAGTTTCACTGTATTCTCGTATTTACCGAATCTTCTCCGAGCTAGTTCTCCCACGAAGTCGCCGTCTTCAATGTCGATATCGTGGATAAAGATGTTTTTCACTACATCTTCAACTATTGGTAGATTATCCATCGAAACTCCACGAAATTGTTTCGGTTCACAACCCGATTTTTCCAGAAAATCATTAAAGATCTTGGAAGTGGATGTTTCAAGACTAGATGTTCCATGTAAATGAACTGCAAGCGCTGAAACAAACACAAATTGTCGTTGTATGGTTGTTTTGTGTCTTGATCCGAAACCAAACAATTAACATGGTTATTCCTCAGAAGTGGTTCGGGAATCACTGAATCTGGACATCCCATGGGTACGTTTTTCTGCACGTTTGCAATAAATGTTTCGTACTAGGGGCAAAATCTGTCTCTATTTACATTATATGGCGTGTGGGGAGATGATTTTTGTCAAAAAACTCAAATTTAATTTTTTTTTTTCATTTTTTTTACATTTAATTTTTTTTCAGGTTATTACTGCTCCATGCACCTTAAAAAGCAGTCGGAATTTCTGAGGCTTCGCCCTGATACGAGCAGTCTTGTTATCATGTGTAGAATCAAAAGTCAAATTTTCTACCGCCAAATTGAACCAAATGACTTTTTGATAGAACACAACCAAGAAAAGCACAAAGTTTATTATAGCGACCTTTGTGTTTCATATGAAAAGAAATGTTATAAGGCCACTGTGTTTTTTTACACTTTGTATGTAAAGATACTCCTGCTATTTGCGGAAATAATTAAGTCTAAAAGCTAGGCTTGCATTTTTTGAAAAAGAAAAAAAATTACAAAATTTTAAGTTTTTTTAAATCATCCACCTCACCCCATATAAAGCAACAAAGTGATAGATTTCGCTCCTAGTAAAGTAAAAATTATGACAAATAGCTTGTTTCAATCAATTTGGGAACGATTTATACGAGTCATTAAATTTCCGCTTACGCGTTAATAGCACGAAATACATCGCGCGTTAATTGTTCCAAATTGGCCAAAATGGCAATCTTTAAACCCCCAGAACTTTATAAAAAATGATCACAAGTAAAACATTGATTCAAATTTGAGCTCAATACATCAATTCTTTTCGGATTATGAAAAAAAATCTGTCAAAATTTGCTAGTTAAAAGTCGAAATTTGTCTGCAGTTACTTCGTTACTTTCGTTACGAACGTCGAATCAAAAACTTGAAAGGCGGCAGAGAGTGCAAAAGAGTCCTAATTTCAGACAAGACTGCTCGTATATCAGGGCAAAGCCTTGAATGTTCCGATTATGTCCCTTCATCTCTATCGAATAGTTTTTGGGAAAAAATACTGAAAATCTATAAATTTTGGACAGCATATCAAAGATCAAGTGTAAAAATTTGAGTCACACGAAACTAATACGATCGATTAGCTATAGCCTCAATTCAAATTGGAACGGTTTTGTGTTGCGAGATAATTCTCCACGCATAAATAATTTGCGTTACGCTTTTAACATTATGAATAAAATGTTCCAATCGCTCATAAGTCCAGAGCATGGCCAAATTGGCAATTTTCAAACTCCCAGAACTTTGCAAAAAATGATCGGAGGTAAAAATATCTTTTTACATTTGATTTAAGGGAGTCGATATCTTTAACGGGATATAAAAGTTTCTTGTCAAGAACTGTTATTTCGATCGACCAAAATTGACTGAATAAAAAATACCACACCGAGCCTAAATATTCCGTTTTCTTCGAAAGTCGGAACAACAATAAATTTTATCCAAGATTGTATCTCGTAATACAAATTATTTTTACACAAACTTTTTTAGTTCACTTTTTAATGGTAATCTTCTGCGTCTAGCAGTATTCATTGAACTAGAACCTCCTTGCTGCTGTGACATGCATATCCAAGGCTGACCTCGGCAAATAACATTCCTTCGGAACCATCTGAAGGTCAAAAAGTCAGCCGGGTTTCCATAGGGAATCGAGTGGGTCAAGTTGCGTTTATTGTGACCCAAAACATAAGGAACTCCAGGCATGTATGGCGAGTAAATATAAGGATGGTCTTCTCGTAATAACTCGCCAGACCCGAAACCTACTTTGGTCACGACATTGGCTCGGCATCTCGGAAGATAAAATGCTCGGATGTAATTGAGTCGTTTGTTATTCTCGTCGAGCGTGTAGTTCACCATTTTAGACAAGTATTCGACGGGCGGCATTATCATTTTGGTGAACCCGTATCTGCGGTATAAATCACACTGAGCTTTGCAACAGCCTCCATCGCGGTAGAATATGTTGTGACGCCGGTGCATCTCAAGCATGGTTTGCTCGCAACTATCGATTACCGAAAACACCAATGTCTGTACCTAAGCATATCAAACGGTAATTTCAGAAAGACCCACCTCAAAGTATCTAGATTGTATTATCTTCAATTAAAAAAGCAGCAGCAACTAAAAAAATGATTTTCAATCGATGAACTGTCATTTTTTAAACAATTCAAAGAAAAATTTGTGCAATTCAAAGATATTAAATACAGCACTGATATGAAAAGACCGGATAAATTGGAAAAAATAAAGTAAAAAGGCCTTTCTTAATTTTGGCTGACACTGGACAAGAGGTGATAGCAAAAAAGTTTCTAATACCGCCAGAATTAATATGGCTCAATTCTGCTTTTTTTTTGGATAACTTCAGCCCAAAATTACCCCAAAAAGGTTCAGATTTGGCTTTTTTCAGTGAATCATCAATTACGCATTAACCACAAAATATCGGGCCAACTACTGAGCTCACTAGTTCTAAGGGAGCCTCTTATACAATCCAAAATTTTTTAAAAAGGGTGTAATTATACCTGAATTCACAAAACATGCTTTGTTTTTGAATTTTAAATTGTTTGTGAAGTTCAAATTTTGCAAATTCGTTATTCTTTTAGTAATAAGTTTTTTCTAATGTGTTATAGATCTAATACTATTTGAATTTTGATTTTTCTGCTTATTTGGTAATCGGTTAGTTTCAGTTTTGGTGACCTGAAATTATGTGTTATAATTGAAACTTTGGTAATTTAATCTGAGAATTTTGAGTTCTCAATTTTGATTGGCTACAAATAACTGAAATTAAATGTAAAACAGTCAGTCCCTCCATCAAGAGAGAGGTCACTGCCAGTTTTGAGCTACTCTCAATTGAGAACTGTCTTGTTTACTTTGATACTGTCTTGTTTACCTTGGTACTGTCTTGTTTACCTTGGTACTGTCTTGTTTACCTTGGGTACCTCAAATCTTTTACTATTCTTTTATTTCAATTTAAATGGTCCGGAGTGGCAGTTTCTATGGTAAATGGTGTTCACGAACAAAGAAGACTTTTTAAAATCACTGTATTTGAGTTCTACCTTACTGGGGGGGGATTGATCTATGCATCCGATAAAATTTTTAAAAAGTCTTTTTTGTTTATTGAAAACATTTCAAAATTCGGCTAATGTAATTTACGGATTTCAAGAAGAATTGATTATGATTGATTAAAAATGGATTATAATGCTACTATTTTTCGAAACAAAAAAAACATTATAATTGATTATAATCGATTATAATCGATTATTTAAAGAAAAAAATTTCAAGTTTCGTTGAATTATAATCCATTTTAATTGATTATAATACATTTTAATCGATTATAATCCAATATTTTTCAACAAACGTCAACGTTTCATTTTGTTTTGAATTGATGTGGGCTAAATGATTTTCATTGGTATCTATTTATTTTTTCATTTTTTTTTTTCAATTCGATTTTTTTAAACAATTTTTCGAAAATAAGACCTTCAATTAGTGCGACCTCTGAAAAAAGTTTAAATTTGCAGAAACATGATAATAAACGTCTTCTCATTAGTATTAACTACGTTGAGTTAACGTCTGTCCAGGGTAGCGGCAATTTAGCCGATAGAATTTAGGCCAAAAATAAATATAATAAGTGATGCCGAAAATAATAATAATAATAAATTCTTTCTTTACAGTACCTTTACTGTCTTTTTTACCTTGGTACTGTCTTGATTACCATGGTACTGTCTTGTTTACCTTGGTTACCTCGGGTCTTTTACTATGATTTTTATTTCAATTTAAATGGTCCGGAGTGGCAGTTTCTATAGTAAATGGTGTTCACGAACAAAGAAGACTTTTAAAATCATTGTATTTGAGTTTGACTTTACTGGGGGGATTGAACTAAGCATCCGATAAAATTTTCAAAAAGACTTTTTTGTTTATTGAAACCATTTACCCTTTTTACTGCCACTCCCGACCATAGTGTTTTTTGATTTATTATAAGAGATTTTCGGATTTTCGGAAAAATTATAATCAATTATAATTGATTATAATTTATTATATGTCACAAAAAATGTTATCAACATAATGGATTATAAATATCGTTTAAACACCTAAATTTGGCTCGTATAATTATTTTTAATGTTGATAAAAGTACAATTATAATTGTAATATAATCGATTATTTTCTCTTTTTACTGAGTGCGGGTGGGACCTCGTGATTGATTGGCGCAAATAACGCCCCATTGAGTTTATAAACAGGTCCAGCAAGATGGTATTTTATTTCGTGGATGTGTTGCTTCAAAGCAGTAGTGGGTAATTTAGATCTAAATTCCGTTGGACTAAATAAGCGGCGTCTTTTGAGGTAAGTTGCTCAGTAATTGATCAGATATTTTGTTGTGATTTCTGATCTAAATAAAGGAGCAAAAATCAGCCCAAATTATGCAAACTAAATCTTCTTAAATTAGTTTTGGCGATTTTTGGCAATTTTTTTGGTGTCCTACAATTTAATGACATACAATTTAACACCGTACATTTTAAAACTTAGTCATTTCACTACTAAACAATTTAAATCGACAACAATATAACTCCTATTTTCCAGTTTAACACAGTACATTTTAACACCTAGTCATTTCACTATTAAAATTAATGCTTTATGAATTCCTTATCTTAACTCTTATCACACCAAAGTTAATCCTGCAATTAACTTACGCACCATAATGAAAAACTTGGTTTATCTTAGTTATACATGCTAAAAGGAGGCTTCCCAATTTATATAAGACTCTTATCTACAGGTTTGTAATTTATTTTCAATTAGACTTTTCGCTAAACTTTTATGATTACTAAAAAAGCTGCTTGTGCTAATTCAAAACAATTTGCCGTAAAAATTCTGACAAAAATTAAATTCTGACAGTCACTTTATACTTTACTCAAGTGATAAGCAAACGCAAACAAAATAAACACATTATGATTGAGTCTTCTTTCGAGTTCACAGTTTCATCTAAAAACAAGCCAATTCTTATAGCGTCCGGCCATGAATTTTATTTCAAGCGAAAAAATAAGTTTACAGAAAACTGGATTTGCTCAAAATATCAAACACATAAATGTCGAGCAACTGCCATTACTGAAAATAACGAATTAATCGAGACGCGTGGAGAGCATAACCACGACATTTCAGCGGGAAAATCGGAGGCCCGAAATGTCATAAAGCATATAAAAGATCTCAGCGAGAGATTTACCCCGACTGTTGCAGTTGCCAGTGCGGTTTTGCCAATTACCAACGATTTGGCTACTCAGTTTGCTCTCCCAAGTAAAGACAAACTGATCCGAACTCTCCCAAGTAAAGACAAACATTTTTGTTTATTCTTTCGTATTATTGAAATTCAAATTTTAATCCTACTGAAATTTATGTCAGCTTTTTTTGAAAAGACGTTTCCTTGCAGACTCCCGGAAACGTAACTAAACGCAAGAACATGATTCGTGCCTTAGCAATTTATTCCCAGGACAATCGCCCTTATTTTCGGGATGCTAGGTTGGGACTAGGGGCTGGCAAACCCTTTAGCTTTGCGTTTATGTGCCAACAGTTCAAAAAAAGCTGACAAAGCGATCAGGTCATAAGTTTAAGTTCGAGAATGATTCTAAAAATAATGACTTTAAGGCTTTTGGCATTGGTTAAACCTTTTTTTAATTTCTATACCGGCTGAAAATGTCTAGAAAATCAGGCCATATTAGTCAAAGGACGTCTAATTATTTGCGGGCTTTTGAAGTTCATTGAACTATTGCTTGTTTTTGGTTCATTTTGGAATGATTCATTGAAAATATTGGCAAGGCCATTTCATTTTGGTTTGAAACGTTTCATTGAAATCATTTGCAAGGTCATTTCTATTCAAAACTTACGCGAATTAAGTAGCGCAAATTTGTCTGGCTTTAAATGGCAAAAATTTCTCTCGTTTAATTCTTTGATGGTTACCGAAATCCCCTTTGAAGTAAGTTTTCTTTTCATTTGGATTAAAACGGTGTTAAGTCATAGAAATTGTTTTAAAATGTAGCGATGTTATATTGCTAAGGCAACAAAAAGTAGGGAGTGAAATTGTAGGGTGTTAAGTTGTTTAGAGTTAAAAAGGGGGGAACAATTTTTTTGACATGCTTTTTGCTTCAAGTCGACTCAGTTTGAAGTGAACTCAGTTAGCAACCATTCTTTGTGAATATGGGTATAAAAAACAAAACTGCGCGAATCCTGAATGTTCCAACTGCGCTTTAAGACCATTTACAAAAATTTTGGTCGAATAATTGACGAAATAATTAACAAAAAGGGTTTTTCCCTTTTCCCCAACGCTATGTACATTACAGAGAGTGTACTTAGCGTCTCCCAAGACTTACTTGGAAGACTAAATTGATTTTGGAACGCCCTAATCCGCCGCTTACGCGTGTTATAAAAACGCAATATTTCGCACAATAATCTCGCACATCGGTCAAATTAGCTCTTTTCAAGCCCACGCAACTTTACTAAAAAACACAGGTAAACAATTGAAAAAAGTCTTTTCGATGGTTTAAAAAATTCCATAAAAGTTGTTTTGTTAAAAAGCCAAAAGTTGACGGAATAAAATAAACCACCTCAAACATAAACATTCCACTCCGTTTGTTCGAAAGTCTGAACAACTATGGGATAATTGGTTTTCCAATTTCGACCAATTTTCTGCAAAAGGGGGAAAGATTTGAAAATACAAATTCAATTAGTTCTACGTTTTTTTTGCATTTCAGTTTGATAATATGTGTAGAATAATGCGCGTGCGTCTCTAGTGACTATTTTTGTTGAATTTCATTTTCTGTTACGAACCTATAACCAATTCTGCTGGTTTTTTCACGCGCACTGAAAATGAGACAAGACTTCTCGTATCAAGGCGAAGGTTCCGACTGTCTTTTAAGTTCTATGGAATAGTTTTCTCTTTCAAAAAAAAAGAAAAAAATTTCCAAAAAAACTTCAAAAATGTTTAAAACAAAGTGATTGATTTTGTATAAAGCAGAGCATTTAATAGACTAATTTTGATGCCTCAATTCAATTTAGAATAA